CATATTTCAGAAACATGAAATACATCTGTATTGTATGTACTTCAAGGTCAGTGTCAGGACTGAATCTGAGTATTAGGGGTAATAAGCTATGCCCTGTCCTGACAGTCCTCTGAGTTCTTTTGTTTTTCAGCTCCTCTCTGAGGAATATTTCTAGTTTCTCAGTTTGCATACTTGTGCTTATTGAAAATTTCCAATTTCATAGCAATTCTCATGTGCTTCTCTGAATTCTTGGTTCTGTAACCAAGCACCTATGATGTTGTTCTTCCTCTTCCTCCTCCTCCTCCCTGTCTTCTTCCAGTTTCTCTTCTTTCTCCTTCTTCTCCTCCTGCTTTTTCTTATTGATGTTGCTGTTGTCCTGGCTTTTTAAATAAGGGTGCCGCAACATTGTACAAATATTTTGTCTCAGCCACACCACTGCTGGGATCCATAGGCAAATACTCCTATGCTTGTCCTCTTTTATGACTAATGGAGAAAACATTTAAGTAGCATTTCTGAAACTGCCTTAAATTTGATCAATGCTGAATAAAAATTCCAGAAGTCTCATTTTTCTCAGATACAAGCATAAATCAATAGTCAGTATCCACCCCCTGATTACCATCACCAAAAACAGGGGAAGTAGGTAGAATTTAGACCAGTTTTCACCAATATAGTGAATTGGAGCTTCTGCTAATAGCAATATATTTTGGTGCAATTAACAGTTCTGCATAGGTTTTAGCAAACCTTATATACTTACGAGTTCAGTTTAGATTCTGACCTGGCATATTATAGAGGTAAGTAAGAAGCAGTTTGTAATTTTCATCCCAGTCAACTTAAGTAATTCATAAGAGAGATAGTTTTCAAAGTTTATAATATGGTTTGGAAAACCATGTTTGTAAAGGGGTCTATGTAGCGTTCTAGTGGTTTTCAATGAATTATGACATAATATTTCTTTTCCCTGAACATTTGTACAACAAGAGTTGCAAACAACATTTTGAGGAAAAGTCTGAAGCTGGGTTTTATCCTTTTGTGAAAGGATAAATTGTACATATTTATCTTGAATAATTGTAATCATAATCAAACTACAAACTTAAGTTCTGCTTAAACAAGTTTCTTCTATGTACCTAAGTAGTATTTGACTTATTCATTTATAGCATGAGCAACAATATGTTATTCTTAGTTATTTAGTCATTCAAGGGAATGAAGGAAAAGTCAAGGAAGAGAACATCCTCTATGTGGTTGTCTTCCATGTGTATTATGGACTTTTTTCAAGGGCCAGTTCTGTGGAAAAGGGAACATACCCCAGTCAATAATGATGGTGTCATTAAATATCCTTTCTACTTGACATTCTGAAGAAAACTGAGGAGAGAATTGTGTGTGTGTGTGTGTGTGTGTGTGTGTGTGTGTGTGTGTGTGTGTGTGTGTGTATGTGTGTGTGTGTGTGTGTGTGTTCTTTGGTTTGTTTTTGTAGGGATTGTACTGTTTATATAGCTACTAAAGCTTCTGCTAAAATCAGTTTGAGAAAATATTCTTCAGTCCTTTCTTTATCTACTCTTCCTCCTCTTTATCTCCTTCCCCTCCTTCCCCTTCTGCTTGCTCTCAGACTTGCAATCTACCTCTCTCCTCACATCTCCCTCTCTTTTTCCTTCTCTCTCTCCACATACACCAAGTCTTTCTACTCATCTGTTACTTTTTTTTTATTTCTCTAACTACTCATGCATAGCTTGAGAACAGGAGTTGCTTTCAATACTAGAAGTCAAGTGGGCTCCTCCTTGATTAAAGTATTGTGGTGTAGAGATGCCCACTTTCCTCTAGTTCCCTGTTTGAGGCTCTTGAGTAGAGACAAGCTGAATTAAAGAGTCTAAGTGGAGCGCTACAGCTTCCCATGCTACACCCACCTAATAAACCTCACATTGAAGTGTATTAGCAATAAGTCAGGGTTCCCTTTATAATTGCCCCTTCAAAAAAAATAACTAGGAAGTCATCTACTCTGGTGGGTTTTCTCATTTCACCAAACTTTATCTAAACTGAAAAATAGCTTTCAAATTTATTATACGAGCTACACTGCTCACTAGAGATTTTTTTCTCAATTATGAAGTCTTAATTTTCTTTAGAAAATATTTACTCTTCACAACTTCTCCATAATCCTTTCTAGAAGGTACCGGAAATGAACTTAAGTCTCATTTAAGCCATTGTATCAAATGGCTTTCAGGAAGTTTGCAATGTAATAAGCCTTCATACATGTAATACAGAATTAATTGTATCATTTTGGACATGTCTTTGGGAAGATAGATTGAACAGACATGAAGCATTTATGAAAGAGTCTGATATAAAAATACATATGAGTAAATATATCTATTCATTTGAAGTTGGTTGGTTAATTATAACTTTGAAGGTCTACTTTGAGCCATTGACAGGTCCTTTGTTTGTCATATCCCAAATGAGCACATTGGACTGTGTTACGTGTGTAAAGTAGGAACTTTCAATGGGCCTCCAGAGAGTTCAAATGTCCTTCTTAAGTGGAGATCTTTGTGGTACTTTATCACCATAGCCTCTTAATCATGTCTCAGATCCTTCCTCTCGCTCTCTTCTGGGAGCTTTCCAAAATCGGTGGGAAACTCAGTAAGGAATGGTTCTGTGGTAATCTCTGTAATCTTTTTCTTACTCTTGTATTGTAAATAATCATCCTGAGTCCTCAGTCTTTCAAACAGGCAGGGATAATTGTGGGGTATGTGATATAAATAAATCACTTTTTAATAGAGAGAGAGAGAGAGAAAGAAAGAGAGAGAGAGAGAGAGAGAGAGAGAGAGAGAGAGAGAGAGAGAGA